TGTTGGACACAACACTGCCTATACTCGGGAGAGTATAGCTCTATGCACTAACTCTTCTATAGATATAAGCTGGAGAAAATATGAATTATAATAAGGAGCATGAACTTTTATTCTAGGAGACTGCTTTCTTTTGGGAGGCAAGGCTGCTCTTTTTATTTATGAAGCATTAACAGCATTAATAGAGCACATATCGCATACATAACACATGTATAGACAACCAGAGCACTAAGCCACTTCATATACATCAATTTTCTATTTAATGCATTCTTTTATTATCAAGTAGCACTATATTATGCTATATTTCTGAATCAAAGTGCATTTTGAAAATAATTCTTGGGGAAGGGAGCTACTTATATTACATTATAACATGACCTGCCAGTATGACACTCGAAAATCTTCGAACAATCTATATGCATTGTTGAAATTAGTTTAATGTTGCTTATTAAATGTTTTTATAACTTTCGTCAAAATAATTTACCTACAATATTATATTTTTAGATTACCTTAAGATCTACCCTTCCCCAAAGTATAACAATTAACTAGAGTTATGCACAATTTAATCTAACCTTGTTAAATGTTACATAATGTAGCCTATAACTTACCTAGCCTAAGAATATGCTAAGTTTTACTTGAAGGATAATGGTATGGTCAGACAATCCATATTTTTTTTCACTGTAATTACCTTTATAGTGAAAATTACACAAACTTAGCAAAATAATAATGAGGGGCCTATTAAGGGCCAGTTTATGAAGACCCGTAGAGTGTGGCAAGAGTGGTGCTGGATGGTACTGGGAGACTGAGGTTATCCTCTTGTTAGGCGCACAAGGCTACACGAAGCACCTCATGTTTCATCGGCTAAATGCTTATACTTTCTTACATCAAACTAAAAACATGGTGATTACAGAGACCTCATATATACAAAATTTAGCTAATACTTCTTACTGGATGTATCCTAAATGAGAATCTATTGAAATTATAAAAAGTAACAATCCTAACTAAAATACCTAACATCAGATAATATATTACATACAATTTATATTAAATATAACCCATTACACGAATAAATATGCTATCAAAATGCTTTCTATGTATAACTTGGACAGTGTATACAATAAATACTTCGCTCTCCTTAACAGGAAAATATTGCACCAGATTTACAAACCTAAGATAATGTTGCCAATACATACTCCTAAAATATTCAAGGACCTTCTTTACTGAACTGCGATATCTTTAACTAGAGGTGTTAACTACAAAATTTATCAATTATTAATACAATGTGTACAATTACTGCCTTCAAAACAATACATCACTCAATGGGAATATTCATTAAACTTCAACTAATTTTTCCAACAGTTCAGGTCAAGAAAGGTCAACATGACAAAAATAAAGATATTACTTTGTCTTACAAGATTTAACATTAATATAAAGATATGCAACAAAGTATTAATTTACCAATACTACATCAATTAATAAGAACAGTTACATATATTGTATTTACATAGGTAAACAATGTATACTTATATATTAGGTCATAAATGACATGCATGAAAGACAATGATGGTCAGTTATCTCTAATAACCTGTGTATGTATGTGTACTCGCCTAATTGTGGTTGCAGGGGTTGAGACTCAGCTCCTGGCTGAATGTGTGTGTGTGGGGGGGGGGTCACAGGGATCGATTCTAAGATCCTATCCCTGCCTCTTGTTAATCTCCACTTTCACTCCCTCTTAGCCTCGTGGGTCCTATCGTATCTGCTCTTAAAACTATATATGGAACCCTCCTCCACCATTTCATCACCAATATCATTCCACTTCCCGACCACTCTGAGACTGAAGAAATATTTTCCAATATTCCTGTGGCTCATCTGTGACTTTAACTTCCAGCGGTGTTCCTGAGTTCCCGTTTCTCGCCTATCAACCTATCCATGAACACATTATCAATTCCCCTGAGTATTTTGCATGTTGTTATCATGTCTCCCCTGGTTCTTCTGTCCTCCAATGCCATTAGGTCCAATTCCGTTAGCCTCTCCTCGTAGCTCAATCCCTCAGTTCAGGAACAAGTTTTGTTGCATACTTCTGCACTTTCTCCAATTTCTTAACATTCTTTCTCAGGTGCGGGTTTAATACTGGTGCTACATACTCCAAGATGGGCTTGACGTATGCTGTACAAAGGTTCCGAAATGATTGTTGAGATACCTGAAGGCTACTCTCGGATTTGCCATATTAGCATTGGCTGCTCAGGATATTTGACTGATGTAAGCAATATACTAGGCACCATAATTACCCTTAGGTCTTCCTCTTTGAGTGAAGTCTGCAGCCTGCCTGCCTCTCTCTGTATGTGTGTGCACATGCGTGCGCACCTATTTGTACTTATCTATTTGTGGTTGTAGGGGTCGATTCTACCTCTACCATCCGTATAATGGAGAAAAGGAATAATGATTGTTTACAAAAAAACCCAAACCTGTATGGATGAATCAGCACTGTACTGTAAGTTAATGCTTATGTTAGGAAACAAGAGGCGTGAAAAGAGAAAAATCGGTTGGCACAACAGGTCGGTCTCGCTCAAAAAGTTAGTGTGTGTCAGCATTAAAATAGGAACTTTTGGAGAAGACAGGTATGAGAGCGTCAGAATACTGAAGGAGATCTGGGCTCTACGAGCAGTCTGATAAATAATCCAGTCAATTAAAATATTTATGAGTGTTCTCACAATGAGCGTTGGGCAACTCTCCGTGAGATGCACGTTCTTCATAATTTTTTAAGATTTGTGTATATAATAATAATAATAATAATAATAATAATAATAATAATAATAATAATAATAATAATAATAATAATAATATACAATAATAATGTAATAATATTACGTTAGTCTCGTGTGTCCAGCATAAAAGAACACACATTTGCGGGAAATGCTCTGCATAACAAGCGGCTTTCCATATAGTAGTATGTCATTAATGTCAGCTATGGTCTGTATACCTTGTAAATATACTTGTAGAAATAAAAGATATATTACTTCGCGTGCTTCTGCTTAACTTTGCTCGAGACTGGAGATGAACGCTTCTCCAGACGGAAGGACTAACCACCTCAACACTACTTCAAGGATGATGGACTAATCACGTCAACTCTACCTCTCTCCTGCTTCTGCTATCTACATTTGTCACGTCTGTACTTGACTTACGAAGCCCTGAAGAGCAGGCAAAACATTTTGACAAGATACCCAATTGTTGTACATGAGTCTTACTCATCTACTTGTCGGTATTGAATACCATTATTATAATGATTTTTGAAGAGTGTATAAGCTGAGAGAGGATGTATGTGGAGGAGTGTATAAGATGAGAGATGATGTATGTGGAGGAGTGTATAAGTTGAGAGAGGATGTATGTGGAGGAGTGTATAAGTTGAGAGAGGATGTATGTAGAGGAGTGTATAAGTTGAGAGAGGATGTATGTGGAGGAGTGTATAAGTTGAGAGAGGATGTATGTGGAGGAGTGTATAAGTTGAGAGAGGATATATGTGGAGGAGTGTATAAGTTGAGAGAGGATGTATGTCGGGAGTGTATAAGTTGAGAGAGGATGTATGTGGAGGAGTGTATAAGTTGAGAAAGGATGTATGTGGAGGAGTGTATAAGTTGAGAGAGGATGTATGTGGAGGAGTGTATAAGTTAAGAAAGGATGTATGTGGATGCGTGTGTAAGTTGAGAGAGGATGTACGTGGAAGCGTGTATAAGTTGAGAGAGGATGTATGTGGAGGAGTGTATAAGCTGAGAGAGGATGTATGTGGAGGAGTGTATAAGTTGAGAGAGGATGTATGTGAGGAGTGTATAAGTTGAGAGAGGATGTATGTGAGGAGTGTATAAGTTGAGAGAGGATGTATGTCGGGAGTGTATAAGTTGAGAGAGGATGTATGTGGGGAGTGTATAAGTTGAGAGAGGATGTATGTGGGGAGTGTATAAGTTGAGAGAGGATGTATGTGGAGGAGTGTATAAGTTGAGAGAGGATGTATGTGAGGAGTGTATAAGTTGAGAGAGGATGTATGTGGAGGAGTGTATAAGTTGAGAGAGGATGTATGTGGAGGAGTGTGTAAGTTAAGAGAGAATGTATGTGGAGGAGTGTGTAAGTTAAGAGAGGATGTGGAGGAGTGTATAAGTTGAGAGAGGATGTATGTGGAGGAGTGTATAAGTTGAGAGAGGATGTATGTGGAGGAGTGTATAAGTTGAGAGAGGATGTATGTGGGGAGTGTATAAGTTGAGAGAGGATGTATGTGGGGAGTGTATAAGTTGAGAGAGGATGTATGTGGGGAGTGTATAAGTTGAGAGAGGATGTATGTGGGGAGTGTATAAGTTGAGAGAGGATGTATGTGGGGAGTGTATAAGTTGAGAGAGGATGTATGTGGAGGAGTGTATAAGTTGAGAGAGGATGTATGTGGGGAGTGTATAAGTTGAGAGAGGATGTATGTGGAGGAGTGTATAAGTTGAGAGAGGATGTATGTGGAGGAGTGTATAAGTTAAGAGAGGATGTATGTGGAAGCGTGTATAAGTTGAGAGAGGATGTATGTGGAGGAGTGTATAAGTTAAGAAAGGATGTATGTGGATGCGTGTGTAAGTTGAGAGAGGATGTATGTGGAAGCGTGTATAAGTTGAGAGAGGATGTATGTTGAGGAGTGTATAAGTTAAGAGAGGATGTACGTGGAAGCGTGTATAAGTTGAGAGAGGATGTATGTGGAGGAGTGTATAAGCTGAGAGAGGATGTATGTGGAGGAGTGTATAAGTTGAGAGAGGATGTATGTGGAGGAGTGTATAAGCTGAGAGAGGATGTATGTGGAGGAGTGTATAAGTTGAGAGAGGATGTATGTGGAGGAGTGTATAAGCTGAGAGAGGATGTATGTGGAGGAGTGTATAAGTTGAGAGAGGATGTATGTGGAGGAGTGTATAAGCTGAGAGAGGATGTATGTGGAGGAGTGTATAAGTTGAGAGAGGATGTATGTAGGGGAATGTAAAAGTTGAGAGAGGATGTATGAGGAAGTGTAGAGGTAAATGGGGACCCAAGGTGATCAACTTAAAGGTAAAGAATTTTGCTATATGTAGCGGAACGTTGAAACAGGTAGATGTGTTTCCTTGTTCACACAATTATATCATAGTAAAACCTTCATCTCCTACAGGGAATTACATCTACTATTGCATAATTATTCCACCTGTGACTGATGAGCAACTCTTAAATACTAATTTATATATTTTACAAAACCTATTTTCATTCATGAAGCATAAAGCAAACAACAGTATCTTAGCACAAAGTTTTGAGATTCCAGTCCAAAATCTTGACTTTCTCTTCCAGTGTTACATTACCATGCAGACAGTAATAGTCAACTGCACTTACTGTAACATTATTCAAATTTAATCACCATGTAAAACCATAATGACATGATTAACTATAAACTAATTTGTTTTTTTTTAAATATCAAATTAATCACAGATAAAACATTGATAATCTATTTAAATGGATTTCAAATTAATAACTTGGAGTCATATGTTTCTGACAATAATTAATGTCTGCTAAGCAAAAATATACTTAAGTTTGTTTATACCTTGTCTTCATTAACACGAGGAGCGACTGCTGTTGAACCATTCTGGGTTACCCAGTGCTCTCGCTCTATCAGTGCCTCATCTTCATTTAAATCTTCATCACTCTCACATCCTTCCCTCTCCACATGTCCTTTTCCTTCATTAAATTCATCCTTCATATTTTCTTTGGGTAGATTTTCCCAAGTGTTTTTCTGTGCGTCTGAGAACACGCTATCATTTGCTGCTGAACTGCTGTGCCCCTCTGGTATGGCTGTCAGACGTCCCTGGGGTGCAATGCTCTGAGGACCACCACCAGCACCAGCACTAGCAGCTGCTGGATCAGTCTCTGAAGCAAAGGATTCAACTGGATTTACTGGTCGACTGGAATTGAAGTTTGGCTGTGGCTTGGACGAAATACTGGCTTTCTCCCAAAAGAACCTCCTGCCATGATGTGCCTTAAACCTGGGAAAGACTCGTGCAAGGCATTCCACGTATGCATCGCGGTACTGACGATTCATAAGCACATAAACGACCACATTGACACAGTACTGAACCCAGTACAACACGTGTAAAAGTAAGAAGCGAACGGGGTACTTGACTTGCCTATCAACTGCATGGACTACTGCCACTGGCACGCTGCAAACTAGCACCAACAGGAAGATGATGAAGATGGTGCGAGCAACACGCATATCTCTGCGGTTGGTGTGGAGTCGCTGGCTTACAGTTGAAGACTGGTGAGTACTGAGAGAAAAATATGTCAACATATTACACTACAGTGGCAGCAAAATTCTTAGGACAATGCTGTAACTTTTAAGTATGCCTCATATTGATAAGTAATTATATACACAGTGACAAACTTTAGGAAGGAATGTTTATATACAACATAAATTATATTCTTGTTATTGCATGCAATGTATGTTCTCACATAAAATCTGTACAATGCACATGCGGTGACTGTATAATATAATTCATGAGATCAAAAAACCCAGAGTTAGCAGACTCACCGTTTACCATTGAGTAATCTGGCTGCATGAAGGCTATAGGGGGCAGAAGCCATCGTTAATGCTAAAAAAGAACTCAAGCAACATCCCCTACAGTCTATCTACTCCCACATCTCGTGAACCGAGAACATTTGGCATCCACAACATTCTTAACGAAGTGAAACTAAGCATTAAAATCAAGTCTACTGTACTTATGAAGGTTTGAAGTGGATTCTGCAGGAGTTCAGAGGATAGCAAATAAATATTGACTGCTTGTGGAATATCAAGAATTGACAAAACTTACACCAAGAAATGCCGAAACAAAACATATTCATGATTATATCAACATTATTTTATTTGTAATTTAAATATATTTCATTATTTATATATGCAAACAGGCTATAAGACGTTCTCTATATAAAAATGATAAAACAAAATATACAAATGCAAGTAAAACGAGTGTAAACCCAGTACAGTACGTACTTTGTGCATGAGCATGTGATAAGGTTTAGATAGTGTTTAGATAGGGTTCGGGATATTAGCAGTTTGGAGGGATATGTTGTGTATCTTTATACGTATATGCTTCTAAACTGTTGTGTTCTGAGCACCTCTGCAAAAACAGTGATTATGTGTGAGTGAGGTGAAAGTGTTGAATGATGATGAAAGTATTTTCCTTTTGGGGATTTTCTTTCTTTTTGGGTCACCCTGCCTCGGTGGGAGACGGCCGACTTGTTAAAAAAAAAAAATACATCTTTTTTTCAACAAGTCGGCCGTGTCCCACTGAGGCACAGTGACCCAAAAAGAAAGAAAATCTCCCAAAAGAAAACACTTTCATCATCATTCAACACTTTCACCCCACTCACACATAATCACTGTCTTTGCAGAGGCACCCAGATACAACAGTTTAGAAGCATATATAAAGATACACAACATATCCCTCCAAACTGCCAATATCCCAAACCCCTCCTTTAAAGTGCAGGCATTGTACTTCCCATTTCCAGCACTCAAGTCCGGCTATATAAAAATAACCGGTTTCCCTGAATCCCTTCACTAAATATTACCCTACTCACACTCCAACAGCTCATCAGGTCCCAAATACCATTCGTCTCCATTCATTCCTATCTAACACGCTCACACATGCTTGCTGGAAGTCCAAGCTCCTCTCCCACAAAACCTCCCTTACCCCCTCCCTAAAACCTTTTCGAGGACGACCCCTGCCCCGCCTTCCTTTCCCTACAGATTTATACGCTCTCCAAGTCATTCTACTTTGTTCCATTTTTTCTAAATGACCAAAACATCTCACCAACCCTTCTTCAGCCTCTGAATAATACTTTTAGTATCTCCATACCTCCTCCTAATTTCCATACTATATACACTGCACTAAAAACAAAAGGAAAATTAGCTTGGACATTTGATACAATAATCATCTCACTATTGTTCTATTCTATTGGTATCTTACTATTGCTATTTTCATGACATTTTTATCATATTACTATCATCAATACTTCAGTCACTACAAGTATCAATAAAAGTGTTTGTGGAGGTGTGAGGAACAAATGTGAGGTGTTCTGGAAATGTAAGGTACTGATGAAACAGGTGTTGAGGAAACGTGAAATGGTGAGGAAAATAACATGGGGAGGTGTGAGGAAGAGATATTAGGTGTCGAGGGAGGATACATAATGAGTCGAGAGGGGAGAGGATACATGAAGCGTTGAAACCAATTTTAGAGAACAATACCACTTTAAGAGTTGGAACTGCAGAGATGAGAGAATGAAGCAAGATGCAAAGGCAAGCAAGAAATCAGATTAATTGGAAATAACGCACTGCAAAGAATTATAACAAAGACAACAGACAAAAATATAATCAGAAAAGCAGTGATGCTTGTCACTCCAAGTTTGATATACAGTACTTACAATCTGGAACGAAGACTTGACTCTGACACCAACTTCTTGAGGCTTCTGAAGCTTGAGTTTGATCCTTTCCTCTCTACACCACAGGTGGAGGAGGTGGAGGCAGTGGAGCTGGTTGGGGAAGTAACCTTGATCTTTTCAGAGGTAGTGGAGCTGGTGGCTGGGGCAATCTTTGTGTTTCCACTTCGGGTGGAGGAACGGGCCACTCGGGCTGAGCTCAGTTTCACCTGGGAAAGTATCACAATAATTATTACATAGCCAATTACTGTAGGAAATTCAAATATTAAAAAAGTGTCCTCTCAAATTCTACTATGACTATATTTATGTTACTCTTCTGTTATACTTAAGGAATTTCAATAATGCTCTGAGTTATAGCTTTAATTTTGTGAATGCCGAAATTCAAGGCAATTTTTGAAAAATACAAATTTTAAGTAACTTTTAACTCAATATAATAATAGGAAACTGCAATAAAATAGTTTATAATAAGACTAACTGAGTATTAATTAAAATGACATAACTGGGACATAATTATCAAAATCAAAATCTTAACATAGTGAAAAAAATCACTAAAAAAAAACATTTACATAACATGACTGGACACTTCAGCAGATAACATGCAGATTTTTTTTTTTTCAAAAAGTCGGCCGTCTCCCACCGAGGCAGGATGACCCAAAAAAGAAAACTTCACATAATCAATACCATGCAGATAATCGTACATGACTACACAGTAGATGTATTTACATTACCACTACACAATAAGGACATGATCATTCTAATGGTATGCAACTCCCACGGAAGTCACACTATCATCACCAGACATGATCATATAACATCGACACAAGAGATGATCATTTCCTAATAGCATCAACGCAAGCCATGACCATGTGAACGTAGGGTTGATATAAACATTATATCAACACAAGAGACGATGACATAATCGTGAAAAGAACAAGAAAGATGACATAAACGCATCAACATAAAAGATATTAACAACATACCAATAGAAGAGATATACATAAGAGATAATTTAAATGAATCACATAAGAGATGACTTAAACATATCACATAAGAGATGATTTAAGCATATCACATAAGAGATGATTTAAGCGTATCACATAAGAGATGATGTAAATAACATACACAAACAGAATTTACAATAAACTTTATGATAATGATCATCACAAGCCAGGGTACTTGTTTATAAACCAAAGATAGAGATAATACATACATTAAGTGATGACGCATACATTAAGCAATGATACATACATTAAGTGATGATACATACATTAAGGACATGTTGCTACGTATTCTGGTGTAAGCATACACTAGTGGACATGCTACTTCCTATACACACACTGACATGTTGTATATACATTCCCGGACATCATGTTGTATATACATTCACGGACATGCTAGTCTACACATACACGGACATGCTACTGTGTATACACACACACGGACATGCTACTGTGTATACACACACACGTACATGCTACTGTGTATACACGCCCTGACGCAAAAGTAGTCTTGACTGAAATGTTTCAGAATCGTGTAGTTATTATTGATTAAACTGTACCTACAATTTTATGAACCACCAGAAAACTCTCCCCGTCATCCAAGGAAAACAGATGTAACTAAAACTATGTATGAATTATGCGAGAACCCTTAGTTTTCCACCAAAACTGACCTATGCAATTTTGTTAAAAACGACGCAATACAAAATATGTTATTTTCCTAACATAATTAATAATTTGCGTTTAATAAAAATTACAAGTCTCTAAACTGATGTTTAGTTGAAATTTAGTTTAATCTTTTTCCTTGAAGGAGGAAGGGAGGGTGGAAATCTTCAGGTCGGCCAATTTGATCTTTTTTCATAATATGGAAGTTGTAAACCCTCATGGGTGACAGGGGAAGATGAGAGAAACATTTAAGTAGGACACAGCGCCAGGGTGAGTGCTAGGATGACTAGTACAACCTTGGCAGCTGGGGCAGCTGGAGGCGGAAAATTTTGGTTGAACTTTCGTTGTCTGAGTAATGCTCTTCTCACCACCTGACGGCAAGACACTTCAATGTACCACTAACTGTGCAATCACACAGTTATGGCCACCAGTAATTAGTTACAACCAGCAATAAATAATAGTCACCTGGTGTACAGAAATGTATAAATACATAACAGCATCTACTGCGTAGGAAGCCTACTCCAAGTAAATATAAATTATTTCTATAAATATTTTTTATATTTATTATATATACCAATAACTGTTTCAATGTGCATGTAATACTTATTAAATGTCAAGGTTGATGTAGCCTAATCCCTGTCATTACCTGTACACATACTGTCGCTGCTATTACTGTACTTGCATCTCCAGGTTTAACAACTAGTGTTAAACCCTCAGCTTTTAAGGAGCAATATTTACCTTTCAAGACACTGGGAAGTACTTGTGTCTACTGTCTTACACAGCAACGGCACTCTGGCAAGTACTTGTGTCAAATGCTTTATACGTACGTTTCACTCTGGGAAGTACTTGTGCCTACAATTATATAATACTGAGAAGTGCTTCTGTGTCTACCGTCTTGAGCAGCAGCACTAAGAACTGTCTTTACTTCCTCATATAACACTGGGAAATGTTCGTGTTTACTGCCTCATTCATTCTAACACCTGCAGTTATTGTTACTCACCGCAGCCTCATTCATTCTAACACCTGCAGTTATTGTTACTCACCGCAGCCTCATTCATTCTAACACCTGCAGTTATTGTTACTCACCGCATCATTATTACCAATTTTACAGACAATTAACCACTACAGTACCAACGAAAGCTTCCACTCTCATTATCCACAACTATCACCACAGCAACCAGCAACCACTGTCATTACCCACAATCATCACAATAACCACTACCATCAACAACCACTATTATTGCCCGCAATCACCACCACTACCAGCAATAACCACTATTATTACCCGCATTCATAACTACCAGAAACAACCACTATTACATTACATCCAGCGTCCTGATGGCACGTTCAAGACTTCAGACGTCATCGTAACACCAGGAAGCAGCACTCATCATACAAGTTCATTACGTATCAAGTCTACATTATACAAAGTGATCGGTGTGGATATTCCTGTAAGAACAAATATACGCATTAAACGGAAATAGATACTACTCACTAATCAGCAGTGCAATACAATTTAAAAGAGATTCGGGAATTCTGAAAAGCAGACAAGCTAATGGTTAAAATTATAACTATAATTTTTAAAGGAGTGGACCGCTCAGTTAGCCGAAGACCTCGGTCAGATGACCAAAAGCTCCAGTGGCGGGTATCATATAACTAAGACCCGCATCAGGAAACACTTGTCCTGTTTCCTGACAAACATTACCTAACCTAACCTCTGAAAAGCTGAAAAATAGTTAGATACACATTAGCAACAGTCAAATATAATGCTCTCTTTCTCTCATTCCTGAACTTTGTTTCCAACGCAATGCATAAACGGCAATATTTTATCACATCTATCATTTTCAATCTATCCAAGATAACTTAAAAAAGACAAATACATTCATCATTACTCATTCTTTAGCCATATTTAATAACGTGCAAGGAAAAAATAAGTTCCTGGAGATATTACTGTTCTCACACTCCAACAGCATGCAAAACCCCACAAAACCACTTGCCTCAACCTGACTATAACAAATTCACGTGTTTGCTGGATGTTCAAACCCCTACCGCTCATAACCACAATCGTCCTTTACGCCGTTCTTCAGATCAAAGTCAATAGACTCATTTACTGTCATGGTAAACTTTCACTCGTATCTTGGCAGTGTTCTTTCACCTTGTCTCACAGCAGTATGACTTTAAATCATTTGAATATTCAGCCATTTCCCAAGATGATACCCACAATACTTTCATATTTTACTCCATGTAAGCAGGTGGTGTAAGGAGACATGCCCCTCGACCTGCCCAGAACTGTACATGAATGTGAACCTTCACTCACCATGATGAAGACAAAGATGTATAGGATGAAGATGAGCAAAACAGGAATGACGGCTTCAACCAAGATGTACACATAGCGAGCCTTGATGCTCGCTGATCCCATGTCACACTCCATTGTGTCCGTGTTGAACTCATACTGACCCATCACCTGTTGATAAAATGTATATATATTATATATATATATATATATATATATATATATATATATATATATATATATATATATATATATATATATATATATATTGGCGGTTTGGAGGGATATGTTGTGTATCTCTATACGTATATGCTTCTAAACTGTTGTATTCTGAGCACCTCTGCAAAAGCAGTGATAATGTGTGTGTGTGGTGAAAGTGTTGAATGATGAAAGTATTTTCTTTTTGGGATTTTCTTTCTTTTTTTTGGGTCACCCTGCCTCGGTGGGAGATGACCGACTTGTTGAATATATATATATATATATATATATATATATATATATATATATATATATATATATATATATATAATATATATATATATATTGTGCAGAATAAGACAAACCGCGAAAATCAATTTGAACATAACGAAAACATATATACAATTTATTTTAAGGAATATTAAATCAATTTAAACTCGTCTATGATATATTAAGAAGAATTTGACTAAAAAAAATCTTTAGTTTAAATGAGGTTTCTAAGTTAGGCTTAGTCAAAGATTTTGTTTTACATAATTTTCAACGAAAATATGTTATATAATTAAAGTCACACACACACACACACAAACCTACTAGAGTTTTATGACAAGGTGACAGAAGTAAGATAAGAGAGAGGGGTGGATCGACTGCATATTTTTGGACTGCAAGAAGGCCTTCGACACAGTTCCTCACAAGAGGTTACTGCAAAAGCTAGAGGACCAGGCACACATAACAGGAAAGGCACTGCAATGGATCAGAGAATATCTGACAGGGAGGCAACAACGAGTCATGGTACGCGACGAGGTGTCAGAGTGGGCGCCTGTGACAAGCGGGGTTCCACAGGGGTCAGTCCTAGGACCTGTGCTGTTCTTCGTATATGTGAACGACATAACGGAAGGGATAGACTCAGAAGTGTCCTTGTTTGCAGATGATGTGAAGTTAATGAGAAGAATCAAATCGGACGAGGATCAGGCAGGACTACAAAGAGACCTGGACAGGCTACAAGCCTGGTCCAGCAACTGGCTCCTTGAATTTAACCCTGCCAAATGCAAAGTCATAAAGATTGGGGAAGGGCAAAGAAGACCGCAGACACAATATAATTTAGATGGCCAAAGACTGCAAACCTCACTCAAGGAAAAAGATCTGGGGGTGAGTATAACACCGAGCATATCTCCTGAGGCGCACATCAATCAGATAACTGCTGCAGCATACGGGCGCCTGGCAAACCTAGGGATAGCGTTCCGATACCTCAGTAAGGATTCGTTTAAGACTCTGTACACCATTTACGTCAGGCCCATACTGGAGTATGCAGCAAAAGTTTGGAATCCACACCTAGTCAAGCACGTCAAGAAATTAGAGAATGTGCAAAGGTTTGCAACAAGACTAGTCCCAGAGCTACGGGGATTGTCCTATGAAGAAAGGTTGAGGGAAATCGGCCTGACGACACTGGAGGACAGGAGGGTCAGGGGAGACATGATAACGACATATAAAATACTGCGCGGAATAGACGAGGTGGACAAAGACGGGATGTTCCAGAGATGGGACACAGACACAAGAGGTCCAATGAAGTGAAGACTCAAGTGAATCAAAGGGATGTTTAGGAGTATTTCATTCATAGAGTAGTCAGGCCATGGAATAGCCAGAAGTGATGTGTATGGGGCAGGAACCATACATATTTTAAGGCGAGTATATAGAGCTCATGGCAGTAGAAGAGAGATAGTTTACAATCAGCGAAGAAGGCGGGGCCGGGAGCTGTGACTCGACCCCTGCAACCACCAATAGGTGAGTACAAATGGTGAGTACATATACACATACACAATATATATATATATATATATATATATATATATATATATATATATATATATATATATATATATATATATATATAAATCTGAAAACGAGTCGCTAAAATCATTTCGTGAGTTTGCACCGGGTTAAGAATTTCAAGAGGAAACTCGGAATACCAACGAGATCAGTGACGTTGAAAATTCCAGGTTGCTGTGGTGCTGCTACTGCATCAATGTTATTATCATCAATTAAGGGATGATTTTCCCTGCAACTGGGGATGGGTTTTTCTTCCAGGGAACCGGGGCTACTCTTCCTTGGATCAAACCTACCTCCTATTCCCCAAGCACTGTATGACTAGTACGTATCAAAGTATTCCCCATTACTATAATTAAAATTAATGTTATAACACCAAATCATAATTCTGTAATAATAATTAATAATAATAATAATAATAATAATAATATAATGGTGATAATTTTGAAAAAAAAGTCACTAAATTCAGGTTAATATATGCAATATTATACGAGGATATCACTGAGAAAGTACAGACTCGCTACGGAGCTGATTCATATTGAATACCTCTTATGTCTAGCTTAGTAGACAGAGGATCGAGCCTCCACCACTCTTTGAATGGCCAACAGTTTAGCACATCACATACTATATACGTGATGCAAGTTTCATACATGAACAAAAATTAAAAAAAAAAAAATATTCATTTTAAATTCCGAATCGAGTTAAAATATACAAGAATTTAACTGTAGTAATTTCGTTTTAGCATAAGCAGGTTAGGTTATCACACCTGAAACTTAACTCCCAGAACATGCACAAACATTTACAATCAACACGGTTTATATATTAAAAGGAGTTTATCTCTGAGTATAAATACACAGTTTACTTCAATTTCTATATATAAAATATTCTTGACTGGTGATGTACATGTTACATACACTTTTAATGACCCCTCGTGGCCTTAGAAGTAATAAACCAACCAACCATATACCATCACGCATTCTGAAGAACTTAGCTCTAACATAAACATGTGTATGTATATGTTTATGCATGTATGTGTACACAGTGCATGTACATACAGTGCATGTATGCATGCATACAAATATTTGTATACGCTTAGAAATAAGAGACCAACAAGTATAAGATTACTTAGGCCCAATGCAATCTAGGTAAAATACAGTCGGCAATCACATGTCTGACACCTTAAAGTTGGCCCAGGCAGTGACTGCATCCACCAGCACACTGGGAAGCCTCTACCTCAAACCCGGGCTACACGTTATACATGATTCCAGGGATCACCGTCCTGGCGACCCGGTCTCAAATAATACCTGCTAAATACATTTAAATACAAGAGCATAAACAATCAACACGCAGCTAATTAAAGATAAGTGTATACTCAACGTAAGTAAAAGTTTGTAAGATGCATCTGTCATCTTGCACGTTCATGGGACAAAAAGAAAAAAAAAACAACATTGAGCCAAACCACCAAGACAAATGAGTAAACATACATTACGATCCAACGATCATTAAAAACAAGAGGACAAAACCAACACCCATACTCATGGACGTTGTTAACATGTTAAAGTACAAACTTAGATAGTTTACCCCGAGGGCTGGTGGCAGCTTGAGGAAGAGGGAGTAGATCCAGATTCCGCCAATGTAGGACCCCATGATGATGGGTCTGTTGATGGAGGCGTAGAGTCTTGGCACACTCACTGCCAGGGCTCTGTGCAGGAGAAGAGTCATGTTGATAACTAAGACACATCACATGTGCTACAGTCATGTACCTGTTGGTCATAGCCCCTGCGGCCGGGTCTCAGATCAGGTCCCCTGCTTCACGGTAAATAACATTTCCTCTTTAAGACACTGATACACAATTATGTAAAATAATGGTCTACATTCTGGAACCGATATTAATTATACAAAACATTTTAATAGTCTGCCCAGTTCAGACGATATAATATTGTGAAATTACAGTTCATTATACATCGTACACGCTTAATTAAACTATACTTACACCCAGGCAATACTTACAAACCATAAACGACCAAACAATACTTATACACCATACACAACCAGAAGCACAATTCTAACCATAAAACCATCCTTAAAAGCACACAACTGCATCACTTCAGTACTCTACCCCCACTGACTCCAACATATGGTACCATCATCTGCTGTATATATTGTCATCATCTGGTGTGTACGATACCATCATCCGTTGTATAGTGTACCGGTGGTATCCTCGCCATAACGCATTAACATTCCGTGCAGTTTGGTTCTCTCTGTACATAACGTCATTAACACTGATGACGCTGATCTTTCATTTGGACAGTGACAATAACACAACTACCACCATCGCCATTACCACGACCACAACTACTATCATTACTACCACTATTACCACCACAATCACCACCAATAGCCTCATTACTGCTACCATCACCAGTACAACTAACACTATCCACCACTACCAGCACCAACATTTATGATGCTATCCTCGTAAACTCTATTTCCTCTGTGGGAGTTCAGAGTATCGTGAGCGATGGTAATTTGAATGTAAATGCAGCTGAATTCCTGATGAAAGAAAACCTTCTTAAGTTTCCGAAGTTCCTGAAGCTCTATTCAATCTAGGCATTAGTGGAATGCTTGACATGCGGACAGAGGTTCGAGCCTCCCCTCTTTCTTGTCAAATTGTGGGTACGGGATGACCGCCTCACTAAAATATAATAATAATCATAACTTCATCGTCCTGCTGAAATCTATCATTGGGTGCTCCCACAATGTAACCATCACACAGGACAGACTTGCTGCACATTACAAACGTTCTCACAATGTACCTATCACACACTGAGGGTGTTTCACAATATTACTATCATATACAGATGTGAAGCTGCACACTACTAGCTGTGTGGCCGCACACTGCGGGTACAATTCAGTTCAAAAGGCAATGATATCGCCCCAGGAGGGTCAACTCACCTAGTGAGAGCTATGGCGAGGATGGTCTGTAGTTCGACCTGAGTGAGCGTGTACCTAACGGAGGTAAAGAAAATACAATCACGGTCGGTGAGGAGGGACTCGCTGTGTTGCTGCAGGTACAAGTACTGAGCTCCGGACATGGGCAAGATGAACACGCAGAAGAGTAGCTCCACCACCGCCAGGTTAACCACGAATGCCGTGGCTGATGTGCGTAGCTTCTTGCTCATGGGCAGGGCGATGATGGTGAGCAGGTTCCCTGCAAAGAAACCACTTGGTAATAATAATGAATTTCTAGAAATATATTATTATTATTATTAGTAGTAGTAGTAGTCACAGAAAGCAGCAATATTAGGTAGAAGAATTTTTACGGGGAAGTACTAAACTCGCAGGAGTTGTGCAGCACCTGGGTAATATAAAGCAATCAGATTCGATCCAAGGAAGAGTAAAGCACATCCAACTCCTTGGATCAAGCATAGAGGAACCTCCCTTGAGGGAAAAAAGAGAGACGGTACTCAATGAGGAGTAAAATGATGAACTACAACGAAATAAACTGCTCATCAACAGTGTACTTTTGACTTAAAAATGAATTTAACTAGAGATTAATGTGTAGATTTTATTAGGGCCACATCAACACAGTTTTTCACCAGTATATAAAGAAGAATCAAACTCACAGTACTCATAGTTAATGGAATCCAGGAACATATATTCAGCAGGGCATAAATCAATGAAATATTTTCTATTTGACACCCTCCTCAGGCAGGCGCTGCTAGGATGCCTTTCATATATATATATATATTATATATATATATATATATATATATATATATATATATATTAATATATATATATATATATATATAAATATATATATTGTCGTGCCGAATAGGCAGAACTTGCTATCTTGACTTAATAGCAACGTTCATCTTGCCATATAGGACAAGTGAAAATTTGTGTAGTGCAATAATTTCGCAAAATCATTCTGAACCTAACGAAAAAAATATATTTCACTGTGTTTGTTTAGTATTAAATTATTGTAAACAAATCTAAAATATATTTAGTGGGTTAGGCTAAATAAATTGCTCTTGTTATAATAAGGTTAGGTAAGTTTTCTAAGTTCCTTTTGGTGCAAAATTATAATATTTTTACATTAACATTAATGAAAAAAATATATCTTTAAATGTATAAGAGAAAAATTTTAGAAACGACTTAATTTTAAATGAGTTCTTGCTAATTGACCAGTTTTACATATTCGGCACGACATATATATAATTATATATTATATAAATATTATATATATATATATGTGTGTGTGTATGTGTGTGTGTGTGTGTGTGTGTGTGTGTGTGTGTGTGTGTGTGTGTGTGTGTGTGTGTGTGTGTTGGTTTGTGTGTGTGTGTTGTGTGTGTGGTGTGTGTGTGTGTGTGTGTGTGTGTGTGTGTGTGTGTGTGTGTGTGTGTGTGTGTGTAGTAGTAGGCTGGTAGACAGCAACCGCACAGGGAGGTACTACCATCCTGCCTAGTGAGTGTAAAACGGAAGCCTGTAATTGTTTTACATGATGGCAGGATTGCTGGTGTCTTTTTATTCTGTCTCATACACATGCAAGATTTCAGGTACGTCTTGCTACTTCTACTTACACTTAGGTCACACTACACATACATGTACAAGCATATATGTACACACCCCTCTGGGTTTTCTTCTATTTTCTTTCTAGTTCTTGTTCTTGTTTATTTCCTCTTACCTCCATGGGGAAGTGGAACAGAATTCTTCTTCCGTAAGCCATGCGTGTTGTAAGAGGCGACTAAAATGCCGGGAGCAAGGGGCTAGTAACCTCTTCTCCTGTATGTATTACTAAATGTAAAAGGAGAAACTTTCGTTATTCCTTTTGGGCCACCCCCCCTCGGTGGGATACGGCCGGTGTGTTGAAAGATATATATATATATATTATATATATATATATATATATATATATATAAACACTGATCTCTGGCTGAAGGAGACTCGAACCTACGAACCTTGGAATAAGGTAGGCAGTGCTTTACCAATCTACCCATACTGGACCCATACCTTGGAGTCCAGCTTGCGCTAGACTTTGATCCAAGGCAGCCAGCTTTCAGGGAGAAGACTTACAGCTTTTCCATCCACTGCATGCCTTACTAGAGATATTAACAATGCAAGGAATTCGCAAGAGCAGGCGAAATATACACAAACACTGATCTCTGGCTGAAGGAGACTCGAACCTACGAACCTTGGAACAAGGTACGCAGTGCTTTCCCAATCTACCCACACCTGACCAATACCTTGGAGTCCAGCTTGCGCTAGACTTTGATCCAAGGCAGCCAGCTTTCAGGGAGAAGGCTTACAGCTTTTCATCTCATCAACTGTTCCCAGTAATTAGGTGCCTTATCGTACTTATGTATGCTGTGAAAGTTATCTGTACACTCTCCAAGTCAGCAATTTCGCCTGCCTTGAAGCGGGCAGCTAGATTGAACCTGAATGCCTCATATTTCTCCCCACAGTTTAGCTCGTCCACCCTTATTAAAATGAATGTAAACGAAAGGAAGAGACTCACCATAGGACAATCATAATTTTTAAAGGGGTGGACCGAAAAGGCAATGGAAGGCCTCGGTCGGGTGACCAAAAGCTCAGTGGCGGGTCATAATATGACTAAAACCCGTGCCAGGAAACATTTTTAATGTTTCCTGACGTAACTCACCAAAGGTTCCTAGGATGGATATAATGAAGGCGCTGGCGGCAGTGAAGCCTAGCATGTTGTAAGGGTACTGAGGCGACACATCCTGAGTGTTACCAGGCACGAGGGCATCCGTTACTGCCTGGATGTTGCCCTCCAAGGGGGTGCTGGTGGCCAGGGTGGTCAAGACGGTAGTCAGGTTAGGCATGAAGGCTTGCAGGGCGTTGCTGCCCGACATCCTGTGGGTGAGGGCAGAATTGAGTTCGGCGGCGCTATAGGACGGGGCACCATCCTGATTCATCTCCATGAAGTCCATTCTTCTGCCTTAGGCACTCACCACCTGTAGCACAGAGACCACAACACCATTAGTCTTACAATATCCGTCTTTTTATTATAATTTTTTTTTTTTTTTTTATATTTTATTTAAAACAGTGCGATACAAATGACAGAAATATATTAAAAAGATACACGACAAAAGATTACTGCACTAGAATCGCACTTAACCCGAGACCTAATAACGACACCATACAGTACAGTGGTAATACACACTCACACACACCACACCGTTATGTTACATTGGTATTACACTCACACACAACACACCGTATATTACAGTGATAATACACTCACACAACACTATACATTACAGTGGTATTGCTTTATTTGTTAAAGAACATCTCTAACAAGGTTACATATTACCAAACATCAAACACTGGAAATTATGAAGATTGTACAATAAAACAGAGATAAAAACAAACAAACACGCACAATGACACACACAAGCACACACATTACACTACACGAGACTACATCAGGCACATACTAGGTGAGGTTTCTGCCTGTCAACACACGTATGCAAGACTAATTCTAAGATCTCAGGTGCTTAACAGAGCACCACGATACTCAAAACATTAATATTGGCGATTATCACGAGATCTTAACATACATAGGTATTTACTATTCAAAGAAGGAAACGGGATAATACTAAAAGTCACAATAAAAACATCCAATATAACAAAACAAAACTACGATGTGATATTTTACATCTCAGCAAAACAAAGAAAAATAATGCAAACTAGTTACATGTAATATAATATTACTGAAAAGCACACTGTAACACAGCATAAAATATAACAAAATAAAAACCAATTGCTATACGCTAGGAAACACTTTTTACCACTTACAATTGAATCAAAAACAGTAAAGACTCCTATGCACATATTTGAGTCTCATAGAAAATTTTCATCATAAAGTCCTTGAAATGATTTATACATGATAAAAATATGCAATCGTAGTGCTACACCTTCCTCAATGATAATTGTGTAGTTCTTGAAAACCTCGGGGTAATAACCCTACTGCCTCTAGATATCAAAACTCATTTAACATCCATATAAACAGCTCTCCATGCTCACACCCAAGTCTAGGAAAATAGCCCGTCGTATCCCCTTACCCATTTTGCAAATCCATAAATCCCTTAATGTGAAATTTCGATAACCCTCACTAAAATCTCTCTCCCATCTCCCTCCATACACCCTTTATTTCTACACTGTGTCCTATAAAAAGTTGCTGCCAATGCATTAATTCTTGCACGCACGTCCGCCTCCCTCATAGCCCACATCATGTATATATAATCCGTAATCATATACCCAATCGCTTTCTCAACCCTTTTATTCACCCCAGTTTATCTAAACTTAAAACCCTCAAAACCTGCAAACCCCCCCTCCCCCCACTAACCTTAAAACCTTACCCATCCAAACCCTTATAAGTTAAATTTACAATCGCAAAAATACACCGTATGATAAATAGTCGCCAATCCTCCACAATCCCTGCATTCCCCATCCTCTCGTATTCTCTTATAGAATAAAACCATTCCTGACGGCAAGATTCCATGTAAAAATCTATACAAAAACTCTCTGACTTTAGGTTTTAAACGCAATTTATTTAAAACGCCCCCAAATATTATGCCAATCATACATCGGATAAACTCCTTCTACCGCCGCTACCAGAGCCTTACCATCTGCCCTATCAAGATTTCTCAATTTAATTTGTGAGTGATCCCTCTCACGTTTATGAAGACCCGTAACATTGCCTAAACCTATCATGAACTCCCGACCCCCCCACCACCGTCGCATATCCTGATGTATCTATGAAGACCGTCTTCTTTCGCCCCTCCCTCCGCTTTATAACTATGTTTTAAATACATACTTATTATCCTCTTTTCGACATCTATAAGACCCAGCCCTCCACGGCCAACCGGGAGTGTGACAACCGCTCTACTTAACCATTCGCTCCCTGTTCCCCAAATGAATCTAAAAACACTTTTTTGTAACCTTTTTAATTCACAACGAAGTATCGGAAATATTACCGTAACATGCCATAGTTTACTATATAATAGCACATTCGTTGTTATCACCCTTTGTTGCAAACTTAAATTAGCAGCTCTCAACCCACTAAGGACGCTTCAGAACACTATCAACGATACGCACGGAATTTATTTGTTGTGCTGACTTGATATCATTTACATAAACGATCCCACATATCTTTATTTGGTCCACCCTTTCCCACCTTTCAGCTACCATTCCTTCCTCACGCGACCCTTTTCCAAGATTCATATACTTTGTTTCCTCATGTTGATCGTCATGCCAGTAGCCTTTCAAAAACTTTCACTAACTTTTCTACCCGAATCAAATCCATGTTTTCTCTCACCAAAATCGTCGTGTCGTCGACATATCCAACAATGCCCGCTCCCCCACCCTTACATTACTCATCCCATTTGCTTCCAATAAACCCTTATCCCTCTATAAAAGGGATCTTGAAAACAAGCAAAAAAATTTTGTGAAAGGGGACAACCTTGACGCAAACCCCTTCCATCTGAATCCGATCTCCCAACCTCCCATTCACCTGCACACGCAAAGATGCCTCTTGATACATTAATTGGCCCATGATATAATTTCCGCCCCAAACCCCTGCCATCTCATTATCTTCCATAACGTCTCCCGTTCCACACTATCATATGCCGCCTCCAATCTATAGCCAATACCCCCCCATCTCCCAATCTTACTCTTTCTTCAAATAAAACTTCTAATCATACCGTGACCTTCATACATAGACCTGCCCGGCACCCCATATTTCCTTGTCAATCACTTTGCCCAGGACTTTTTTTATTCTGTTGGCCAAGATCCTTCCAAAAATTTTATAGTCCCCACATAATAACGAGATTGCACGATAATCTTTAACCGTTAATGGCTCGCCTTTAGGAACTAGGACGACCACAGCCAACCTTTGTTGTTCCCCTAAAACCCCATCCCGCTTCATGATATTGAATAAACGTACCAAAACCCCTTTAAAACGTTCCAATTTTGAATATAAAAGTCGCTGGGCAACCCATCTATTCCTGGCGCCTTACCCAATTGCGCCCCAGATAAAGCCTCCCAAGTCTCACACTCCGTTATCGGCCCTCCCAACATCAAACGATCATGCTCCTCCAGCTCACAACGCACAAACCTACCCGATGACTGCAAATGCAATTTCACTTATTCCAACACTTTGCGTTTTCAATTTAACCCAAGCATCAATATACCCACTCATACCCTCCGTCGTCGTCAACACCTGATTCACTCTATACCCCTGCATACCTACCTGGACATTCAACCCCATTAACTCCATTGCTTTGCGACGTCTGTGTTGATTCCTCAACACACACGCCGACGGCCGATCCCCCCACAAAACCTCTTCGATTCCACCCTTAAGCCTTTCCCCATCAAACCTTTTTCGTTTTGTAAATTACGTAGTTGCTCCTTAATTCGTTCAATTTCTGTAACAGGATAATTAGCATTCGCTTGTACATAGCAGTCGCGCAACTGCCCCTCTAAATATCGTTGGAAACCATACTGTAACTGATTATATCTCACTCCCTGACTAATATAAAATTCCTTAATTCGCTTTTTGGCTATCATTTCCCACCAATTAACCAAAGCCACATCCCCAGGTGCTTCAACCAAAAAGGCGTTCCCACATATGCCAAAAGACAAACGACTTTCCTCTCTCTTCAATAACTTTACATTTAAATTTCCAAAATGACGGACCCCTTCTAGGCACACCCTCAATATCTACATCCATTACAACTCCTCTATGATCCGAAAAAACCACATTTATCACACTCACTCTCCGCACTGTAACCGCACTAGACACGTACATTCTATCTAATCTCGCCGCATAATCTCTTCTAATGAAAGTATGCTCCACATTGCCACCCCCCCCACACACATCCATTAAACCACACTCGTCAATAAATCTCCCAGGAACCCCAAGCAACAACCCGCTCCTCGAGGCTCCACATCTTTTCGTCGTATTACACAATTCCAGTCTCCCCCTATTATCGCTACATTTGGTAAACTACGTAGATGATATACTAATACATCTTGTACAAAATGAGTTTTAAGTCGTGCATCTCCCTCGGCCGGCCCATATACACCTACAAAACTTATATATTATCTACCCCATAAACCATCCACCCTAATCACTCTCCCCTCCCCCCTTTCACTATGGCGTACTACAAACGGGCTATTTTCCTTTACCAGAATGGCGACGCCCCCTTTTAAACCTCGTCGCATATTCCATATACCATCGTAACCATCTAATTCCAACTCATATCCAATTCTGTAATTGTGTTCTTGGATAAATACCACATCCACATCTAGACGCACCAAAAATTCATTAACCACTTTCGCTTCCCGCTCAGATCTCAAACCGTTAATATTTATTGTCAAAACCTTAAAGTCAATTAATGGGATTTTCCTTTGGTTCTAGGTATAGACTTTTCACTTATACAAATTTTACACCTCTATCCCTCTCCCCTTTTTTGGGAATCACCTTGATAAACTCTTGTTTCGTGGATTCACTGTTCCCTTTCCTCTGTACATCCGCCAAGACTTTTTCCCTGGCCTTTGGGCAGGAGTAAGCACGTCGTCTGAGTCTGGTGGGGTCGCAGTTCGCTTTCGCGTCCTACCCTCCACCTGCATTGGGGTTTCTTTAGTACTATCATGATGCACCTCCACTTCTGCTATATTTACCATCATGCCATGCGACACCCCAGACTCAATGCTTTCATCCGTCGCCTCACCATGATGCTCAAACCCATCCCAAATTTGCACCTGGTTCCTCCACACGGTTGACGATCGACTCGTCTAACAATACATCCAGTGCCTTCACTAAAGACGCCGCTACATCCTCGTCCCCCATAGTGGGCAGAGTCTCTTCAAATACTTTATTTATATCCAGTGATGGTGATTCTTCTCGCTGTTTTGCATCCTCCAAAGCCTTCTCCTGCGCTTTTTCT